TTTGGAATGAAATAGAACCAAATACTTCACGTTCAGGAAGTAGCTTCTGCGAGCTGGTTCCTAGGTAATTCTGGACTCCACTAGAGGGCAACAGAGTGTGTTCAGAAAGCAATTTGGGCTTAAGGATAGAGTATCTGGTTTTAGGTCACTAGTTCATTCACTGTGCAAAGTAGTCTCCCTTGCAAAACCATATTAGATCCCTGAATGCTACTTATTTTACAAAACAATATACTCTAATAAAAGGATTTTCATTTTAAATGTAATCATACTGGCAGTTTCATTTTTCAAGTAATACATTAATCCACATGTTTTGTCATAATCAATTATTATAAAACTATTTTAACAATGTAATAATGTTTAAACAAATATAATATGGTTTGTTAAAAACAGGTAAAGTGTATAGTAAAATAGGGTTTTTTTTCATGTTTTAACACTGATCTGAAGTACAAGGTATTTCCCTTGTCCTGAAGCATCTTCAAAGCCCAGTCAGTATGAAACTTGAGAAGACTGGCATCACCTTAAAAGTTTAAAATAGGTAAGAGGCGGTGTTGCTGTATCAACTGACCACACACGTAGTGGCTTAAAACATCACAAATTTATTATCTTACAGTTTTGTTGCTAAGAAATCCGAAATGGTTCTCACTGGACTAAAATCAAGGTATCAGCAGGGCTGTGTTCTTTCTGGCAGCTCTAGGGGAGAATCCCTTCCTTTGTCTTTTCCAGCTTCTGGAGGCCACCTGCATTCTTTGGCTAGTGGCACCTCCCTCCATCTTCAAAGCCAACATTGGTCAGTTGAGTCTTTCTCATGTCATATCCCTGCAATATTGACTCACCTGCCTTCCTCTTTCATTTATGAGGGCCCTTGTGATTACATTGGCCCCATTCAGATAATCCAGAATATTCTCTCCATGTTAAGATCCTTAACCACATCTACAAAGACTCTTTTGCCACATACCACATATATTCACAGGTTCTAGAGACTCTGGAAAAGACATTTTTGGGAGGTCATTATTCTGCCTACTAAAGACAACACAGTCTGTAATTTGTGCACCTGCTCCAATCCACCTGAAAAGTAGTTTTTGGAATACAGAATTTATTTGTCTTTGAAACTGCTTAAACGGGTTAGATTCCAGTCTACAGAGTCCAATTAGAATTGAACTGTATCTGAATTGAGTAATCTGAGTCCCAGGAAAAGCAGATGCAAGAAAAAGCAAAAGAAGTCAAATTAACAAGTCTTTACAACAAATTAGATGCAGGTTGTAGGGAAAGAGAATTGAAGTGCACTAAGTATGTATGACATACTAATTCTGAATTAATTTTGTCATACTCCACAATTGGGTCTATTACCTATCTTCTCTTAGCAATGGTGGCAGCTGTGTAAAAACAAAATTCATGCTTATTTATGACTGATCAATTTTCATGAATAGAAATTACAGATACAAACACCCAACACACTGCTTGGCACATTATAGAAGAAAAAACAGAGTATGAAAATTTAAATTCTAGGTTCCAGAATCTGATTCTGCTATATACTACCTGTATGATCCCACGCAAGTTACCCTCCAATTTCTGTGGCTCTTCTTGAAAGAAAAAATAGGTACAATAATAGCTCCTGTCTGAAAGATTGCTTAAAATAAAATATACATAAATGCCAAAGACATTCTGGACCACTGTTAGTGCTCGATGAAATGTGAACTTGTTGTTGGGTGAACTAAGTCAGTGGCTTTTGGCAACCTGAGAAGGGACATTAGCCTAACCCTGTAATTCTTAGATATTTATTCCAAAGAACTTGAATTGTGAGACTGATACATAAAACTGAAGAATCTTGAGGTTAATTGTCATAACTGGATAATTACTCAGTTTTAACACATTTTCTACAAATACTAGTTATCATAAAATGCAAAATTACAAAGATGTTCCAATAATATTTTGATATACTATAGGATAGAAAGAACGTAACATAGTAAAAACTTGTACCCTCTGGAAGGGGCTCTAATGGTAAAGCAAGTTTAAAAAAATGAAATAAAAAATAAATAAAAACTCCCAAAGAGACACCATTTATGAACCAAGCACTATGTTGTCTAAAGGAATAATAGAGGGACGACTGTCCAGGCACAGTGGCTCATGCCTGTAATCCTAGTAATTTTGGACACTGAAGTGAGCCCAGGAGTTCAAGACCAGACTGAACAACATAGCAAAACTCCCATCTCTATAAAAAATAGAAAAATTAGCTGGGCATGATGGTGTACTCCTATAGTCCCAGCTACTTGAGAAGGTGAGGCAAGAGGGTCACTTGCACCCAGGAGTTAAAGGTTGCAGTAATCTATGACGACACCACTGCACTCTAGCCCTGGCAACAGAGGGAGACACTATCTCAAAAAAAAAAAAAAAAATCGAGATAACACCGAGGACAAATCACTTTGGATACCGTAAGTTTTCAAGCCATTTTCTTCAGAAAACTAAGTTCTATTAATATTAGACTCTTCTCTCATCATAAGTATCATTTAACCGCTAGTTTTATCCTTTACTGAAGTGTGCTAGATGGCTTTTCCACCTACTAAATGGGACTCAGCTTACACTGCTCTCTGATTCTAAGAGAATCTTTGTGTTTTACTTGCCTATTCCACACAGATAGGCTATCAACAGTCCCTTAGTGCCATTTCTCACTTGTAGTGAGAGTCTTTCCTAGGAGTTGTTTTGGCTTTAGCACAATGATCATGAGCATTCATCCATGCCTTGCTTTCTATCCATACTCTACATGCAAAAGATTATTAGGTAGCCAACTTGCAAATAGGTGAACTGTTATTTTATCTGAGCTGAATGCTGCCTCAAAGGATCTTGGGTGAGTTTGGTATTTCATTAAACATCCACAAAGCATCATTTATAATTATTTCTTAATTTAAATTGACAAAAAGTAAGGTAAAATGAAGTCTGGCAGAGCCTTCTTTCCACACTAGACATATGAACTATAAGGAGATCTTAGGTGCCAGAGTGTATGTCAGAAAAACAACTAACACTCTCTTTTTCACTTATTTTTAAAAAGATGAAATGGCAGTATAATTTTTTTCTGGCAACATCAAAAGTGTAAATTCACATCAACTCTGCAGAACAATCCCAATTAGGCTTCATGTAGAAGCATTAAAGTGCATTAAGAGAATAGTTAAAGTTGGACCCAAACAGTACTAATTCTCTGCTAGAATTTTAACTGATTATCCCACTTTTTTACCTTATTTAGTAATAATGATAGAGTCCCATTAAAACTGAGATTACATATAATACAACTGTTTCTGTGTCTAGTAAATGGATTATGGTTATAAAGTGCATTGCTGAGATAGTTAAAAAGAATGCTCTAAAAGGAAGAGCTCTGTAGGATAAATTATTTCCCTGGGCACTATTCATGGAATCATCCTTCCTATAATGAAGTCTTAGATGAAGATGGGGTAAGACATTTTCTTCTGGTCCTTCTTAAACTTGCCATTTTTCAGCTTTTCATTTTAATACACTAGACATCCGTGAAATTTGAGACAGGAACTGCCTTCTTCATTAATGAACAATTCTAATATCTAGAATATTTCAAAGGAAGAAGATGGTCCTAGGGAAGCAGAAGAAGGTGAAACAGGGAAAAACAAGTGAAAGCCATCGTTCAGGGTTCTGAAGGTCAATATTATTTACCGTGAGATCAACTAAACAAACAGGAAGTGTGCATCAAATTATATACAAGAAGAGCCAACTATAGAAAATAATGGTTTCTTTTTCACTAATTCAGTAAATGATTTTTGAAAATAAAGTTTTTATAAGATACTCTACCAGATACTATTAACACAAGGAGCATACAAACAGTAAAAGTCCTCTAGTCCATCTCCTCTAGGAGCTTACAATCTATTCAGGGAGGTAAGTCCTTATGAAATGGCTAATTACATGGCAAAACACAACAGGTTTGAGTTCCAGAAGAAAATATGAAAAATAAATCTATAGAATGTCTGCAAAAAATAATGTAAATTTGAACAGTCTGAAAAGATCTCATGGAAGAAGAAAAATGCAAATTTTACCGGAGTTCAATAAATCACTTATTTATATTCCAGTCCAGTTAGTTAAAACACACAAATGTACATACACACACACACCCCTGAGATTGTAGAAAAATAATACAGAGAAACATGTTTACAAATATAAATTAGCCTAGCACAAACAATGCTAAGGACGTAAGGATGCGCAACTTTAGAAGGAAGTATCTCTCCCAGAGAGCTGCAGTTCAATTTTGGAAAACACATTAGCCATATATAAGAGGAGCCCAACACAGTAGTAGTATTAAACAAAGTGTCTTCACAGCAATAATCCAGTGTATTACAATGAAATAGTTTACTTTTATACCTTTCTCAGTTTAGTACCAGAAGAAAAATCCCATTAAAACAATACATTAAATCCCATTTAAAAATCCCATTAAAACAATAGGACCATTCCTAGGTAGTAGCAGAACATGTTCAAACTGTTTGGAATATTCAGGTTAGTGCTTTTTACTTTAGCAACGAACACAAGACTATCACTCAACATAATTGTTTGCCAGGTACTTTAAGAACAATCTTCACCATAGTACTTCATGTAACTTTCCTCCCCATTGTATTCCCTACTTTGAAACACATTCAAACCTCAGGTATTTAAGTTGAATATTTAGCAAGGACTAGGAATAAACTCTGGGCCAGCAAAGGCAATGATAAATCCAAGAGCCTCACCATCTGACTCTAATTTATTAAGACATTATCAGGAAATGTTGGGAATGAAGTATCTCCTAATTAGGCCACCACAAACATATTCCCAAGCCTTGACAAAGTTTTTCCAAACATCTGATGAAGAACTTTGATTTACGGGCTGTCCAGGTGAGACCTGAACAGATGCTATCTTTTAATAGTTATTGACACATGAGTTTGTTAAGGATTTCAATCTCTTGAACACATGCAGCTCAGTACAGAAAAACAAAGGGGAACATTTTTAGAGTTATCTACCTTATCTTTGTCTTCAACAACATCTGCCAAGACATCATCTGGATCCAGGATTCCTCCATCTGTGTATTCCAAGTGATGAATCTTCACCCAGTAACCAGGATCCTATGATGGAACAAACAACAAGTTTCATGACTCAATCTATTAAAAAAAGTAAAATAAAATTTAAGAGAAAAAGTTGACTCATTCAATATGCTCTAGTAATAACATTTTTAAACACCAAAAACAAATGTTATCTATTTATTTGGATAAATATTTAGCATTTTTATCCTGCTTAAATCAGTGAATCAAAGTAAACATATTTCATCAATTTTCCTGGAAAATACATTACAACGCAAAAATAAATTGTCCCAGCAACTTGAAAAACAGATTCATGGAATTTTTTTTTGTAACCTACAACCAAGCCAAGAATACTGTGGAATAGAAAGATTTTCTTGAGAGTATTTTCTGAAACTGGCAAGAGAAGTCCAATCTGAGATTCCAAAGCTGTAGGAAAACCCAAAAGGCAGAAATCTGTGATTACAGTAGCTATCACTTCAGAATGTATGAATGGAATAGGGTAACCACTACCTCTCTACCCTTTTAAAATCTCTATGCATCCTCAACTCTAAAATTTCCAATGACATACACAGTAAAAGCTCCAGCCTTGGTTTCTGTTTTCTGAAGCATACTAGTAACTCATCTGTCATCTACATTGAATAGGGAGTTCACTGAATTGGAGTAGCAATTTATGAGATTTTCAACTGTTGTTTTTTAAAAACTCAGTTTTAAAAACGATTATTCTGATACTAGAATTTAGAATTAAATGATTTAGCTCATTCAGTTATTTATGTATTTCCTATTCCTAGGAAAGATATGGAAATAAACCATTATAACAATGGGACAAGAACATGAACCAATGAATGAAGAACATTAGTAAGGATTTTACCAGAATACCCAACCTATCATCAATTTGGTTTCGTGGTTCATAGAAAGCCCCCCCAAAATTTCAAAGTGGGAATTTTTTGACCTATGAAGCACTCAGCATCCAACAAAGGAACAGATACCAGGTCATTAAAAAATGTGGAAATTCTTCTAAGATAAAACTCTAAGCATTTACCACACAAATCTTATAAGCGTAAGAACTAACATAACTCACAGAATTCAATTGCAATTGAATTTATTTTTGCAAAAAAAAATTGCAAAAGCTAATAGAAATGGTTGCCATATAGTCTTCTCTTTAACTGACTCCTGATAAAAGGTGAGGTCATATTATTAAATAATAATTTTTTAAGGCATCTATTTGGAGGGCTACTATAATGTGGTCCAAGTACATAGCTTTCCAGTAATATAACTTGATAAAGTGATAGGCTTAAAAATTTGAAGAAATTCTCCTTAGCTAAACTTTATATATTTCAAAATTAATTTTCTATAGAGCATCTAAAATGTAATTCCAAGTAAAATTAAATAATCTTCATTTGCTTCTAATACTAAGTTTATATGTGGAAACACTAATGATTTACTAGGAAACTTTAAATGCCTAACTCTGTTGCCCAAATAGAGATCTCAAAGATATAACTAGTGAAAGTATAATCAGATAAGAAAAGCAAAGAACATTCATCACTCAGATTCTTTAACCAGAGATCTTTGCCAACTCAGGGTGATTAAGCTAGCCTCTTGTACAATGTAGCTAAGTACGAGAGGTTATATTTCAAAAAGGGAAGGGATCTGGAGGTATACAAAGCACTATGTAATGGCCATTGGACTACATAGATCTCCCTCAGCAATCTTTGGAAATAGAATCTTTTTGCTATGGCCATGGCACAATCAACATATTTCTCCAAATCTACTCAGGACTTTTGACTGAAATCTAGACTATTATGTTTTCCTTATAAAAAAAATAGCCTGCTTATAAAAGGAATTCAATTTAATTAATTTCTATAACTTCCACTGAGTTGGTTTTTGATATGTTATAGCTCCGTAAGATGAAATCTGTTGATTTTAACCATATTTATAAAAGTAAAGTATTCTAAAGAGTTTTTTTAATATTTGCACTTAAAAGCAGACATCTATTAAGTTGTCTGCTTTTTTCTTGTACTCAGTTTGCAAAAGCAGATTTTATCACCTAAAACTGAGATAAACAATTATCCCTAACAACTGCAGTATAAGTATACTTCTCTTCCTGTCTAGAGGTAGGAAGAAAGAAAGAAGAAAACCAAAGAGTCCTAATTTAAAAGAGAAAAATTCAAAAAATAGAAGATAGTATCTTATCAGTGGTAGGAAGAGAGAAAGAAGAAAACATAAGAGTCATAATTTAAAATAAAAAAATTTTAAAAAAAATAGAAGATAGTATCTTACCAGTGGTAAAGAAAACAACAAACAAGTGGGAGCAAGATGAGGTTGGTAAGTGACTTACAGTCCTCCCTCATACACAATTGTGGGATCTAACACATTGTCGAAAATAAGGCACAGGAGTTGAAACTAAGACATTTTTCGCTAATTTGATTCAAAAGAGTATAGAACAAAGTAGTATTTGATACATTTTGGAATCATATTTGACAAAAAAATTTAAGCGAAAGACATGGTGTCAGAATATAGAAAGGCTCTGCGATTTGAACTCCCTATTCTGCACCAATATTGCCATTTTAAAAATAGGCTAATGATGGGTACATACTTAACCTTGAACAAAAACAGGCCATACGAAATCAGTCTCAGTTAATATTTTATACATCCAAGAGGAAAAAATAGAAATCAATAAACACAGTACCTATTACTATTTTGTCCCCATGGTATTTTGGCCATGGTGCTACAGAGCACTTTGAGAATGTATTAATACATGCAATATTAGCAGTTTACAGCTATCATAAGACCATAAATTTGCCCTGACTCTTTTATGCATGTAAAATTTTCAACTTCTACATTACAGTCAACATTTTGCATTTCATTTGCTTGGTTTTATTGCCATCAGAAATAAAACTGGTCAAACATGAAAAGATGTTCACATACGTGTCTCTTGGTTCACACAGTTAATCACTTGGAAAAGTTTACTATATTTTTTCATAATCATGACATTTAATTTACCTTTATATTGCACAAATATCTGTAATACACATAACTTTTAAATCATATTGAAAATATCTCTAGTATGTGTGCTCATTTTCATATGCAATAAGTCTTATTACTTATATTCCTAGGATCATTAAAGTACTGAAAAACACTATATATTATGTTTTCTCCACTTCTGACAATATCTGTTTTTTTTTAAATACATAGTTAAATGCTACTGACATTTTTAAAACTAAAACTAGTTTACTACAAGGATGAATTAGAAAAGGAAACTAAAACAAAAACATATGCATTACAGGAAGATGACAGTTATAGGGTATTTTTAATGATCAGATATAAAAATTATTCCAAACAGACATTGAAATTGCAACAAAGAATCTTCACTGTGGGTAGATGACATGAAATCTGACCCTATGCCTTTGAAAATTTATACTAACCAAAGTGTTGAAGAATAGCAATTTTCCATTGCAATATCTAAAGCAGTAGACTGGCAAGCTACATACTATAATGCTATGACTACCAAGCACTGGGATTATGCCAACAATCAAAAGAAAAGGAAAACTTCACAGTTTCTAAACAAAACGTGCATGGTCCAGGAAAGGAAAAAGATAGTCTACAATGGTGGTAAGGTCCCAAAGTGAGAAGAGAGCTTCAAAAGAAAGGCCAATGATGGGAAAAGGGCTGAATGTAATTAGCATGGCAACTACAGTGCTCAGCGACGCAACTGGTTTCTTGGTGACTTAATGTTTTCACTAGAATAATCTTACCCACTGGAACATAATAACCACCATAAAGTGGAAAGTAATAGACAAGTAGAATTTTCTTTGTTGAATTTAATATCACAAATTTGGTGGCATGTAACCACAAAATGAGATTTCACCATTTTCATCATCATAAATAGCAAACATTTTATTTAGTCCTTAAAATAGGCCATAGTACTATAGGCAATAGTACTATAGGTACTATTTGTTTTATATGATTAACTCATTTAACCTCAAACAGCCTCATGAAATAGTTAACCCATTCTACAGATGAGAAAACCGAGGCATAGGTAGGTGAATTAACTTACCCAAGGTCAGAAGCTAAATAAGCACCAAAGTCAAGATGGTTTTTTTAAAAAAAACAAACATTTTTATTAAATAACTCAGTACAAAGCATGACTACCTAGGAATCAGGCAGAGGACCAGGCCTATTTCTATCCTTACATAAGCACACGGACCCAGGCAAGTTGCCATTACTCTGGGTCTCAGGTGCTTCATCATTAGAGAGCCTGGGGACTCCATGGCCTTTTGCACAATGCACCACATAGAGGTCAAAATGTAGAGGACACAGGGAATGATGATGGAAGGCCCTCAATTTTTCCTATAAGTGTGTCTGTCCAGTGCTTTGCAAGTGAGAGATTTGGAGAAACCTTTACAAATCTAATTCCTCATAATCAAAGAATTGAGGGTTTGGGAAACAGTGGGAAAAGATCTTCCTGCTAAGAATAGAGAGGGAGTTTGAGGCATCAGAAATTGGATTATTATGAAAATGTACATTCACACAAAACTTAACTACTTTTATCATAATTCTCTGGGGTCATTCTCCCCTCTACCCAAGACCAAAAGAAAATCAGATGCCTCATAACACATTTGGGCATGACAGTGTGATAGAGCATGTCTGGAGACTGAGGAAAACACAGAAAAGGAATCTAAGCAGCCAGCCATACAGCAATGTAGGGAAAAACAAGAGTTCTGGAAAACGATGCCTACGCAAAGCCTAGCAGAGCAGCACTGATGCCTGAAGAGAAAGAATCAAGCCAGAAAAGGAAGTAATGAATATAGAGCTTATTATGAGCCAGTCCTAACTGGCTTCAGAACATGCCTTCACCTTCCCAACATAGATCAACCAAGTACAAACTGAGGAACATTGGCAGGGACCATTTTATCAACTATGTTATCTAGGATAGGAGCAAAGGTTTTTGTGCTGGCAAGTTCAGTAACAGAATTATAAACTTCTAATTATGTATTAAATGAGGGTGAATAAGTCCATACATAAATTTACTTTCAAATCTAAAAAAA